AGAAATCTATTCATAAAACGACAGACAAAAAAAAGTTCAATTACTAGTGAGCATTAACCATCAAAATCACATGAAACATATCTGTATCCATTAATTACCTTCTGATCAAAACAATAACAGCTTATATTATCCGCAAAAAGAGGAATGGAATGAAATGCGAGAGTAAAACATCTATAATTCGTCGTACTCCTAGTATGAGATCGCATTTTCGATTCCTAAATTGAAACCATTATCAATTTAGGATTATAATATTTTGCGTGTGCTGTGTATGTCTACACTGTGAGATTCTGTGGGTGTAATTGACTAATTTCATTTCTGAGAGGGAATGACACATATCAGACTTCGAAATATACGAAAATATTAACACACCTGTAGGCTGTTTCCAACGAAAAAATAAAATAAAAAAATTGGCCTTTTAGGAAGTTGAATAGCATATCCTGTAGGGTAGTTTTAAGTCATTTTCACTAAGGGTGCGCTTGATTGCAAGGGTGAAAAATAGGTGGAAAGAAAATGATTTTCGGGGAAAACAATTGTCTAGAAAATATTTTACAGGGAATTGGTAATTAAGTGTGTTTGATTGGTATAATTTTCCACCCGAAAAATTTTTAAATTTTCTATTCGTTTGGCTTTATTTTACATGGAAAGTGTCTATTAAAGTGATAATTTTTTCCACAATTGGTTATAAAATTTGTTTNTGTTTCCTAAAAAATTATTTTTTTTCATTAAAATTTAGTGTTCGTTTGATTTTGTTTTACATGAAAATTGTCAATTAAAGTGAAAAATTTTTTTTACACTTGGTTATGACATTTGTTTCCATTATCAAAAAATAAATAAATAAATAAATATTGCAACAGCCTCATGGAAAAATTTTTCCCATCAAATTTTCATCCAAAACAAAGAAATAAGGCACGTGGGGGGTTGGGGGAGTAAAAATTTTCCATAGAAAATTATTGTCATCAAACAGCCAAAAAGTGGGAAAATAGAAACCATGGAAAAGCAAGGCCATCAAACAGGGCCTTACAATTTTTCAAAATCACTTTCTCAAATTTATTTTCAAGTACATATCCTTTCTACAAAATAAATTTACAACTAAAATCGTAACTTTACATTTCAAAGTTTTTTGATTTTACGCAATGGCAAGTCATTTCATAATCCTGGTCAACCATCACAAGAATTTAGAAAATCTCTTTGCATTTTAGCCAAGAATTTTGCTATTTGTACATCGGGGTCGACGTCCTCTCACAATAGAGGGAGGCCCACAACCAATAAAAAAATCGTGAACCAGAAGGATTGTACAGAGCATAGCAAAACCCTTCAGCCAAAGAAAAAATAAATGTCATACTTAATTTAACACTGCTTCAACCAAAAATTTAACAATCATCATGTGCAATACCATACAAGTATACCCAATGTCGCGAAGGCAATTAACATGACCAAAATTCTTTCTTTTTTCATACTCATTTTCAACCACATATTCACACAATAAAATATTTCCTACATAAATTTAAATTTTTTCTCTACTTTTTAGCGGCACGTTCTTCAAAAAATCACTATTTAAAACATCATTTTCCCCTAATATCTCTTTATAATGGCATCAAACAGGGACAGTTTTATATCTTGACAAATCAAACCAACCTTTAAATGCCCAGACTATATATATTACATTGAAACTCGATAATG